GATGCCATTTGGCTCCACTACCTTTTCCTAGAAATCGATAATAGCAAGAGGACCATAATAGGGTTAGGGTTATTTGCTGTCCTGATCACAAATATTGCGTCTATTTCTCGTCGCTAGCGCCAGTTAACGCCCTGCTTAGGCCAAACATGAGAGTGGGTGTGATTCTCTTCCTCTTCTTGAGTAGAGCGTAGATAATCAGTGGGCTACATCAGCTCGCGCGCCGGGAATGAATATCATATTCGTAATTAGGGTGCCATATAAACCTAAAAATCAACTCTATGCAATGGAAAGCAACTCTTCGATGGAAAAGTCGGCACCAGTTAGCGCCAGCGCCAAAGGTGGTTACAATATTCGTGACCAGGGCACCGATTACCCCCTCCCCTACAAGCGAATTTTCAGCAAAAAATATCTGAGTCTTCGGGTCCGTAATAGCAAAATGGTGCCACATGAACCTAACTGCCCTGGAACACAGGTTCATTGAATTCCAGGCCCCAAATAAACCATCCTGGGAGTATGGCGATGCCGTTGGTTACGACGGTGATAACGAAGCGTCTACAAGCGTCGCTCACTCGCAAGAGAACATAGAAAACATGGAAAATGGAGAAGGTACATAATTTTCCTTTCTGTATGTTTGGAAAAGCTCATGTGCTCTAGATAAACCTCAAGGCAAACAGTTCATGGATGGATTGGTTCGTGGAGTTGTTCTGGTCACGGATCCATTGAAAAAGAAGATGCTTCAAGGGAAGGTAAGGTTGAATGATGGCTATTACGCTTCGAACTATACAGTTCTCCTTTGTAGATCAAGGAGCTCGTTGGAGCGAAACGGGATGGATTCCCCGGTCTCCAACCGGTTTCTTTAGAAAGATCTCGTGATAATGACAACCTAAAAATGTTAGCGCAGAGGCCTTATATGGTGTCATGGAAAGCAGATGGAATGAGGTTCGGCACTATCTTTAAATGTTTGTTATGTTCTTTCTCCATGAATGTAATGCTATTCATCTAGGTATATGATCTATATTTGTGATGAAAATGAGGTTTATGCATTCGATAGGGACAATGAGGTACGAGTCTTTTTTGACTTTTTACGCTTGATGGTCCCAAGTGTTCTTCCTTATTATGTTACGCTCTCCTTTTATTTCTTTTGATCTCCTGGTTTTTTGGTTCGCCTTTTCACTCGCTTTGGATTTTCTATGGCTTGTTTTCCACACAGTATCCATCCCTTTTTCTTCATTACCGCGTTTTTCCTGTGCTGGTCATTTTTTCTTTCTTGGATTACACTTTGTTTCTTTTTCGATAGTTTTTCTTTATTCCTGTTTCATGCTCATTGCTTTGGTAGTTCTAGGTCGGCTCACCTTCACTTTTCTCATGTATTCTGTCTACTTCTCTTTCGCACAAATACGGCACTTTCCTTAGGCAGCGTTCATACTTCGCGACAGCAGCGGCGATCGCGGCGACCTCGGCGATCGCCGCGATCGTCGGTACGTGGCAGAGCGCGCCCCAACGCTATTATGGACTGCTCGCTTGATAAATAAGGAAATCCAACTTGTGAGACCTTCTTTTCTCTTAATAATGGCTACTAACTGATAACTTACGACTTTCTATACATAAGCGGATCTGGAATATGAGGTAAGGAGGTTTCACTTCTTTTTAGGTCGGGATAAGGCCAACTCCATTTCCTGGGTGAGCTTCTTTTTTTTTTTGTTTTTATTGTTTCAATTTATGCAAGCGCCTTAAAAGTTCCTATCGTCTGAACTGTTCCAACTTCCAAAACATTTATAGTTTACAAGTCGAAAAAAAGAAACAGAAACTCACCTAGGAACCAAAACATAGTCATTTTACGCAACATCAACAGGTGAAAACTTTATAACCTCATGTATAGCTCGACGAATGAAAAAAGAAACAAAAAAAACTACCCTAAATGAAGCTCTCACGCTTTTTGCTCATTTCTATCCTGAATCAAGAAAGAAAATAGAAAACAAAAGCCATTAAGTTGGGTTCACCTTTCTTGTGTCAAACCAAGCTTCAGTATCTAAGAAAATTGCAGTTAAAGGAAAAAAGCATGAAATTGAGTCGCTTCTTCCCAAAAGCCTTCGGAGCGCAAGTAATAGCGTTGGGGCGCGCTCTGCCATGTACCGACGATCGCGGCGATCGCCGCTGCTGTCGCGAAGTATGAACGCTGCCTTATAAGCACAGTCCGCTATATCAATTCGTGAGCTTTGGGGCCCATTCATGTGAATTTGTATTCTTACTGAATGAGGCAACTAGTGAATCGCAAAAAAATGGCCGCTCCTTATCGGAGACCTTTCAAAAGTGCGGCCGCAGGCTCAAGCCAAAGCAAGACACTTTTTCCTGTTCGAGAGATTAGAGGAAACAATGATGAGAAAGCCGAGAAGCGACGTGCTGCTGACATGATGGCACTAGGGAAAAATGAGGCACTAGTGAAGGAAAAAATGTGGGCTCCTTATCGGAGACCTTCAAAAGGGGCCGCAGGCTCAAGCAAAGCGAGACACTTTTGCGTGTTCGAGAGATTAGAGGAAAAGGATGAGAAAGCGAGAAGGCGGGTGTGACATAAGAGATGTCGTACTTAGAATGCTCGCAACGCTCGTTTCTGCGTTTATACTCCCAAGACGACATATAATCCTTAGATGGGGGAGGCTCCTTCTACTAGTGGCTCATTTTCGGTTTATAATAACCGAAGCGCTCTCGCCACTCACAGTGTCGCGAAAGTGGCACCTTCTTGAGATTGCGAACCAGACGGCTTGGAGAAGAAAATCACGAATCCGTCTCAGGATGTCGGTCAACCGCGAAGCCTTTCTTCTCCGTTTTTTCTTTACTCCCCCCCCCTCTTTTCTTTCCCTCCTTCTCTGCTCTTTCTTCTTTATTTCCCTCCATTCAAGTGCTGGACCAAAAGATGCGACGAGAAAATGTCTCTGCATCCTTGCGGTGAGAGACATCCAATTGACAGGTCCCTGTTGTTACTTTGCGTCAGTGTATGTCAGGGTACGGTAGCGTTTCGAGCGTGCGCTAGCGCCTACGACTAGGAAAGTATAGGTATCGAGCTAGCGTGCGCCGCCAGCGTTTTCGCGGCGATGCGAGCTTGAGCAAAACTGCCACCGAAAACGCCGTTGCGCTGGCATGCGTTGGCGTACGCTGGATGGATATCCATACTTTCCTAGTCGCTGGCGTTGGCGTACGCTCGAAACGCTGCCGTACACCGCGTACGCTGACGCAAAGTATAAACGCAGCCCAACCGTAACGTGTTTCACGAATCAGGTATTCGTGGATACGGCAAAAGGAAAAGACCTGGAAGCGACACAGGAGAAACGGCTGAAATTGGCCATTTCTTCTGTGTCTCTTCCGGGCCTTTTCCTTTTGCACAACTCTTGTTTGTTTTCCAGTCCCATGTTCAACGCACCGCGAAAAATCACAAGCTGTCTCCTTATGTAATCTTTTTGCAGGTATTTCTGATACAGGGGCTGTCGTTTCCCCATCGAAAACACCCTAGGCATATAGTGAACACTCTGGTGGATGCAGAAATGATTATTGATCATGTCAGTTTGTGTATTGCTTCTCACTTCGTTCTTCTTTTTTTCCGGACAATTTTTAGTAAGGATTCACCACCAGATTTTCAGGTCAAAGACGAGCACGGAAATACAGTTGATTTGCCAAGATTATTGATATATGATATAATTCATTTCGAGGTCAGTTCTGCGAATCTCGTGCACCCGTGTGGCAGTTATGTCGACTAATTGTTATCCATTCTCTTTCATGCATTTTAATCAATAGACCGTTTCGTTTTGTCCGAAAGTAGGGACGAAACGAACAATCAGTCTTTTGTAGTGGTTTTTTTATCCATGTCTATCTTTTCTATTTGATTTCAGACTTATTAACTCTAGATTATCTTTTATGGTCACTGTATTTTCCAGGATATGCATGTCGGAAAGGAAAACTTTGATATCCGGTTCATGTGCATTCGACGAGAGCTGATTGAGCCAAGGAATGCTGCGATAAAGGTAGGTGTTTTTTATAATTCGTGTGTACGGCGGTCTTCGTTCTTGTATTTCGAAATTTGACTGGTCTTCCTCTAGAGGCTTTATTTTCAAACATATCAGAAATTTTTGTCAATTTCATCTGTTTGGTGTTATATCGGTAAAAATAAGACCGCAGTTATAGTCTCTAGGCAGGTCGTATCCGTAAGGAACGTGAACCGATGTCTGTACGCGTGAAAGATTTTTGGGAGATGGAAGCCTTGCCAAAGCTTTTCGAGCCAAAGTTTACGAAGAATGTTGGACACGAAATTGACGGTCTCATCCTGCAACCGGTCGATGCTGTAAGTTTGGCATGCACACCATTTGCTAGTTGCAGTTTCAGTGGTGTCTTCGTTCGATTGTAATGAAAGTTGTAAGGTAATTAAATTGGAGGCTAATAACATCTTATTGCAGCCGTACACCCCAGGTCGCTCGGATATAGTGCTTAAGTGGAAACCGCCATCACACAACTCGATTGACTTCAAGCTTCAGATCAGGAAGTAGGTAGTTTTTTTCTTTAGAAATTACTCTGAGAATACCGTGCAATCAATGCAGTGTTTTGTATCGATTTTGACTGCGAAATTTGTTCAATATGTTGTCTTCCATTTATTTTAGAAACTTATGCAATATCAGCGCATGTGTCTGTTTACTCAGGGGCAATACGATACCTGTACTTTTAAACTGGAGCAGCTCAGCAACGATTCCAACCCGTACCACTTAATTTGTACGATATTT